GGCTGGAGGAGCGAGCTCCAGCCCAGTGCTTGGCGGGCAAAACCCTCTTGCTCTGCCCCGGCTATGGTCAAGAGCAGCGAGAGCCAAGGGGTGCATCCCTGTGGAAGGACGTGTGGCACTTGTGTCACTGCTGGCCTGGGCTGGAGCAGGACAGTGACCTTTTGTGGGTGAGCAGGAGCCACTGGTCTGGCTGGGCTGCAGAGCTGGAGGTGTCTTTCCCTCCACTAGAGCAGGTTGCTCCAAGCCCCTGTGTCCAACCTGGCCTTGAACACTGCCAGGGATGGGGCAGCCACAGCTTCTCTGGGCACCCTGTGCCAGGACCTCAGCACCCTCACAGGGAAGAACTTCCTGATGTCTAATCTAAAACTACCCTCTTTCAGTTTAGAACCATTCCCCCTTGTCCTATCAAAGGACCTTGTCTTCATTGCTTCTTCCCACAGGCCCTTGGTGCCAGCTCTAACGTGGGTGTCTCAATGCAGGGAAAGCACCAGCACATCCTTCCCCTTAGCTCCTCCACTGCAGTGACTTAGGGGAGTCCTCACAGCCAGGAAAGAGCCCCCCCCTGCAACAGAACCACTCACCCCCCCTTGTCCCCTGCACTCAGGAGAGCGGATCCGGCTCAGGGAAATCACAGCTCACCAGCAGTGCCCTCCTGGCAACCTCTGTCCCCATCCACCTCCTCTGCGTTCAGAGCTAATCACTCAGTAAACCCAAGCCACCTCCACCTTGAGGGTGCAGAGAACAGGGGATGTATTTGAGCCCCGTGGAAGCTGGAAAAGTGGCTCTCACTCTGCACTTTCTCTCCCAGAGGCACAGATTAAGGTGGATGAACTGCTGGGTCTTCTCCATCTAAAAGCACAAGCCAAAAGCATCACAGCCTTGACAAAGACATTTCTACTTCCCTCAGCATAGACAGAGGCACTGTAAGGCAGTATCCAGGCACAGAAGTGTCCCTGTTTTAGTCATGGAAGGACACAGAAAGCAGCCAGCAGCATTCTCGGGTATGCCACAAGAGAATTTCACTGTGAACCCGACTGATTCCAGCCTCATGGCCATCCTCAAACCCCTGCACAGCCTGTGACGGCACTGCCATGTGCCAGCTGAGGGGCTCCAGGGAGGAGCCGTATTGACAGCACCCCGGAAACCAGCAGATCCAGTTGGGATTCAGCTCCTAGAAGGGCACAGGCGCCCTTTCCACTCTCATTGCTGCAGCCACAGGAGATGCAGCAGAGGGGCAGGTACTAGTGATGTGGGCAATCGTTCAGCCAAACTTAATAGGGCCAAGGAGAAAGTCCCCCAGACACTGTCCTCACGGCTCCCCTGCAGCACCAGATTAGTGATGACTTTGGCTGGGAGCTTCAGTCACCTCTGCAGAGCTGCAGACACAGGCAGGGCACAACCTGCAGCCCTTCCTGGGGGACTGTCCTACTGATTCCTCAGGATTAAACCCAGGCTCCTCTTAACGTCTATACTTACAAGAATCTTCTTTAGCTAAATGGATTCATTAGGAGCACTATAAACCACACATGCAAATGAGATGGAGTGTCACCCCCTGCCTGGCAGAGCAGCACCAGGCTGCTCTTCACAGAGCACCATACAGGGAAGACACTGCCCCGAAGGAGCAGGGGACATCCTGGCTTCACCTCCAACTAGAATAGACATGAACAGGTCAAGAGGAGCTTTTCCTCTGCATGACCAGCTCAAAGGAGTTGCTTGTCCCCTTGCCCGAGCAGCTGTTCGAGCAGAAGAGAGCTCAACCCCAGTGAGAAGCTGTAGTGAAACCGAGCAGAAAGCTGCTTTCTCCTGAGCCTGTGATTACTCTGTTTCAGTGAAACTGGCCACCACTGGTCTTAAACAAGGCAGCTTCCAAGTGAAGCTTTGCATTCGTGCTATTGATCCAAGTGTCCCTGCACAGGGAGCTGAATGCTACAGAGCGCTTGGCCTGACAGGAAGCAGCACAAATAACACACAAAGCAGAGGAGGTGACACAAAAAAAGAGACTCTCATTCTCAGGCTGCAGCAAGAGACCATTGTGGGAAAGCTCTGCCAGCTCCTCCAGTATCTTTCTGAACAACATAAAGGCATCACAAGCTTACAGAGCTCCTCAGAGCTCTTCCACAGCTCTCAGCTGCTGATCACACAGACCACGCTGTGCAAGGGCCCTCCTTGCTCTGGGGTTCACTGACCAAGGCAGCCTTGAGCGAGAGGATTAGCTACAACAGTGGTGCAACCTCCCAGAAGTCAGCCAGGACAAAGCAGCAGGTTGGAAAAGGCTGGAAAAGCATCAGAGTCTCATCACTCCCCCCCCAACCCCTCCGTGCTCTGGCTTTGTGCAAAGTCTTGCACGTGCCACAGAACCACAGATGCAAACACCAACTTTACGTGGGCATTACAAAGACCTCTGGCACAAGCAGCCCAAGCATGAACCAGCTGCTCTGGTTAAGAAGAGGTTTGTGACCAACCTGGAAATGCTGCTTTGATCATGATTGCATCATTCATATCATTCACAATGTGATCAGAGAAAGCTGAAGGTGCTCACTCCTCGGCCCAGGGCAAGGAATGCCATTCATTATGAGCACAAAGACCAGGCAGCAATTCCAAATCCAGGCCTGCTCTGGGGGCAAACATCAGATACTGTCATGGCAAGGGTGGGTTATTGCCAAAATGCCAGGGAAAAGCTCCTCTCTGGCCATATTAGAAGGGGCTGCACTGACACAACTGTATCTACACTGGGATACACGGGCTGCATGTGCAGAACAAAGCTCATGCAGCCTCCCTTCCCCAAAGGCAGGGCCTTTCCAAGGAAGTACAGGCATGCTGTCTGGCTGCATAACAATGCTTCAAGGGAGAAACCCTGAATTCCTAGGCTCAGAGGCATCTCCCAGCTGATAAAACTCCTCACCCTCCCTTCCCACTGCAGGTAAGTGGTGCAAACACCCCACACAGGACCCTTGGCTCTCCCATGATGTTCCCTTTGCTCTGAGCTGCAGTTTCCATCCCTACCGTGTTCCCAATCCCTCCTGCTCCTTCTGCAATAACCCAGATCTGCTCTGCCAGCAAATATCTTTCTGTGTGGTGGTTTTTTGCTCAATGCATCATGTGTCAAGGATGGTGCAGAGGAACCCCCCCTCCACCCTGCCTCCGGTTCACCTCAGAGCAATCAGTCAGTTGCAAAACATGCAGGGTTGCACAGACCCTGTGACAAGATGAAAGCTGATGGGGGAAGGTGTAGTTTACACAGCTGGTTGCCACACCAGTCGGTCACCACCAGCTAGCCTCACTTAAAGAACAGTGGTAAAGAGGAGCAGGATGAACACACAGCTGCAGGTTTAAAAGACAGCACCCTGCTATTTACAAAGGCTGTATTCACCTTTGAGGATAAATACATTCTGCTCACACCTGCTGCCAAAGCAGCCTGGGATCTGGAGAGGCAGCACTTACACTCAGCCCCCGCCAGGACTCTGCTGCCCTGCCCAGACATGCCACATCCAAAGGGAGCACAACTGGGAAGCCCCCCGGCCCGCCCCACAGCCCACCCTAGTCCTGGCCCCACACTTACCCCCGGCCCTCAGATGAGCTGCACCGCTCCCGACGCCACCAGCGGGGCAATGACCTTGTAGCGGATGAGATGCTGTGAGCCCTCCTCCAGGTCGATGGTGTACTCCCTGCCAGGGACAGCGTGTGCTCAGGACACCTCTTCCACCGGAGCCCGGGGCACAGCCAGCGGGGAAGCATCCACCTACCTCTGCTCATCAACCTCTGGCTCGACCAGGATGTTCTCCTGCCGCTCCAGCACCCGCAGGAACACGAAGGAGTCCAGGTTGGGCTTTGGAACTGCAGACAAAGGATTGAAGGGACAAGCTCAGCACTGGCTCATGTTCCCCTGCAGGGCACGGAGCTGGCGCGCTGGGGACAGCAGGCTCATGGAATGCTGGACACTTCGGATCAGAGGGAGAATGTGCTGCCCCAACTTCAGATAAGGCTCAGTGGCCTCAGAGGCTGAGAGGACATCCAGCCACACAGCAAAGCAGCACCATGGCACTGCCATCACCTCATCTTTGCTGCTGGAGGGCCCCAGGGCTTTCCCCACAGCCCTGCTCCCATCCAGAGACGACCCTGGAGTCAGGATGTACTCACCTGATTTTAGGAGAGACACCTTCTGCAGGTTGGGTGGCATGTGTTTCAGGCCCACGTTTTTCAGATAGGTCTCTGTGTTTGCCATGTACCTGAAACAAATGGTCAGAGCTCTCACTTGTTTCATCAACTACAACTCTGCAGGGAGAGTATCAATACAAAATGCCAGCAACTGACATCTCCTGGTCCCAGGCATGGACAGAGACAAGCCTCACGGCCTGCCCTGGTCACTGACTCAGTGTTATCAGAGTTCCTTTACTTCACTCTTTCTTTGTCCATAAGGAAACCTCCTGGTAAAAGCTGTGATTCTTACTGCAGACTTGGGGTAACACACCCGTGAGTTCTATAACCTACAAACGGGAGAGGGATGCATCCAAAACCTACTCACTCTTTAGCAAAAGCAAACTCCTCTGGTGACAGAATGGAAGGCTCCCCTTCAGCTCGAGACTTCTCCTTCTCCAGGACATGGGGGAAAAACTTCTCTATCTGATATTGAGACAAAAGCCAGGACTGAAATGGACTTTTCCCAGTAGTTCAGTGCTTTCAATCCCCACTCTCCAGGCTTCCCCTACACGCAGTGGCTCACTGCTTGCTTTGGGCAGCCACAGGCCTGCCCACTCCTGAACTAAGAGGTATTAACAGTGAGGAAGCAACGTTGTGATCCTCCTTCATCACAACAGAACAGTGTCCAAGGAACGAATTCCTTTGGGTTATTCTTCAGAGGACACAGAGAGTGAGTGCACTTTGAGCACTTTGTTGAAGCAGGAGGCTTCGTAGGAGTAGGAATCACCCCTGAAGCCACCCGTTCCCGGCCCCGGGGCAGCACAGCAACCTCACCTTCACCAGCCTACACCGCAGGTAGCTGCTGAGCACGTAGCGGATCCTTTCAATCTCCATGCGATGAACGCTGACCTTCAAGTCTCCTCCCTTTGCCCGTTTCAGGTTTGCCTCCTGTAAGGCACGGCAAAGAGACATGAAATGGTTGCGCTGTCAAACAAGCACCGGAGAGGACGATGGGGTCTG